TGGTTCTACTATATAGAATAACTGTACCATGGTTCTACTATATATAATAACTGTGCCATGGTTCTACTATATGGAATAACTGTACCATGGTTCTACCATATAGAATAATTGTGCCATGGTTCTACTATATGGAATAACTGTACCATGGTTCTACTATATGGAATAACTGTACCACGGTTCTACCATATGGAATAACTGTATCATGGTTCTACCATATGGAATAACTGTACCATGGTTCTACCATATGGAATAACACTACCATGGTTCTACCATATAGAATAACTGTATCATGGTTCTGCCATATGGAATAACTGTAACATGGTTCTAGCATATGGAATAATTGTACCATGGTTCTACCATATGGAATAACTGTACCATTGTTCTGATATATGGAATAAGTGTACCATGGTTCTACCATATGAAATAACTGTGCCGTGGTTCTACTATATAGAATAACTGTACCATGGTTCTACCATATGGAATAACTGTACCATGGTTCTACCATATAGAATAACTGTGCCATGGTTCTACTATATGGAATAACTGTACCATGGTTCTACTATATGGAATAACTGTACCATAGTTCTACCATATGAAATAACTGTACCATGGTTCTACCATATGGAATAACTGTACCATGGTTCTACCATATGGAATAACTGTACCATGGTTCTACCATATGGAACAATTGTACCATGGTTCTACTGTATGGAATAACTGTACCATGGTTCTACCATATGGAATAACAGTACCATGGTTCTACTATATGGAATAACTGTACAATGGTTCTACCATATGGAATTACTATTACATGTTTCTACTATATGGAATAACTGTACCATGGTTATACAATATGGAATAACTGTACCATGGTTCTACCATATGGAATAACTGTACCATGGTTCTATCATATGGAATAACACTACCATGGTTCTACCATATGGAATAACTGTATCATGGTTCTGCCATATGGAATAACTGTACCATAGTTCTAGCATATGGAATAATTGCACCATGGTTCTGCCATATGGAATAACAGTACCATTGTTCTGCTATATGGAATAACTGTACCATGCTTCTACTACATGGAATACCTCTACCATGGTTCTACTATATGGAATAACTGTACCATGGTTCTACCATATGGAATAACTGTACCATGGTTTTACCATATGGAATAACTGTACCATGGTTCTACCATATGGAATAACTGTACCATGGTTCTACCATATGGAATAACTCTACCATGGTTATATTATATGGAATAACTCTACCATGGTTCTACCATATGGAATAACTGTACCATGGTTTTACCATATGGAATAACTGTACCATGGTTATACCATATGAAATAACTGTACCATGGTTCTACCATATGGAATAACTGTACCATGGTTCTAACATATGGAATAACTGTACCATGGTTCTACTATATGGAATAACTGTACCATGGTTCTACCATATGGAATAACTGTACCATGGTTCAAATATATGGAATAACTGTACCATGGTTCTAACATATGGAATAACTGTACCATGGTTTTACCGTATGGAATAACTGTACCATGGTTCTAACATATGGAATAACTGTACCATGGTTCTACCACATTGAATAACTCTACCATGGTTCTACTATATGGAATAACTGTACCACGGTTCTACCACATTGAATAACTCTACCATGGTTCTATTATATGGAATACCTCTACCATGGTTCTACTATATGGAATAACTGTACCATGGTTCTACCATATGGAATAACTGTACCATGGTTTTACCATATGGAATAACTGTACCATGGTTCTACCATATGGAATAACTGTACCATGGTTTTACCGTATGGAATAACTGTACCATGGTTCTAACATATGGAATAACTGTACCATGGTTCTACCATATGGAATAACTGTACCATGGTTCTAACATATGGAATAACTGTACCATGGTTCTAACATATGGAATAACTCTACCATGGTTCTACTATATGGAATAACTGTACCACGGTTCTACCACATTGAATAACTCTACCATGGTTCTATTATATGGAATAACTCTACCATGGTTCTACCATATGGAATAACTGTACCATGGTTCTACCATATGGAATAACTCTACCATGGTTCTAACATATGGAATAACTGTACCATGGTTCTACCATATGGAATAACACTACCATGGTTCTACCATATGGAATAACTCTACCATGGTTCTAACATATGGAATAACTGTACCATGGTTCTAGCATATGGAATAACTGTACCATGGTTCTACCATATGGAATAACTGTACCATTGTTCTAACATATGGAATAACTCTACCATGGTTCTAGCATATGGAATAACTCTACCATGGTTCTAGCATGTGCCACATAGTTTTCATCTTACCAGTTTATATTCTGTCAAATGCTGACGCGGCTATTTTAAGGCCGGGTTATCAAAGTATCAAAGTCCAACCGTTTCATTGAATTAAAGAGGTGTTAGGACACGACCTGTTCAACATTGGCACTTGATTTATTGTCCAATCATTGTGTTACAGCAAGGGTGTGACAACTTCGAGCTACTAATGGTGCGAAAAACTAAAATTACTCGTTTGTGAATGAGTTGCTACTACCGGCAAAAAGGTCTTTCATAGAGTGACGAAAAGAAGCCACACACGACCGTCACCAGTCACGTGACCGATTGACGCAAACAAACCCTCGAGACAAGTTAATACACGATATGTAAACTGGTCACTATAGCAACTAGTCAAATCTGCGTGTTTTTTCTGGAATAAATTTTATTTGTTTTACACTGATCGTAATTAAAATTCTCTTTCCGGTCACCAGAATACGGATTCAACTAACAAGTTTTGAAGAACAGTACATGGCTTCTTTGAAGTTTGTTGTGCATTTGTCGGCCAAAACATCATAATTACGTTCATCTCTGTGAAAAATACGTTCTACAATGTATGTAGACTGGCGAGAATTTGTCGCTTAATCGATTTGGCGGGAAACACTAGAGTGGATATCACATTTGTAGACAAATTCCGTTTCGCATACTGATGTTGTCTTTAAAACAATTACGAATTCATGTTGGTCTTATTCATCGATTGGCGGCTCCGGGTAGTATGTAAATGAGGCATTGCCGTAGCAACCGTCGCACAACAGACGCTCAGTATAAAATGGTATCAGGTGGTAAACAACTCATTGATACCGCGAGAGCCTCGTAGCAGTCAGTGATTCAAGCAGACAGTACTTGCTATTGTGCTAGGAAACAACTCGCTGTCGACCATTTTGTTGGATTTCTTGTTTTGTTTTTTTAAAGACCCCTGTACGTTTTCAATATGGGTTGTGCATCATCTCAGGCCGCCGGTTCTACGGAAAACCAACCAAAAGATCAGAATAATACAGACCCACAAACAGATAACAAGCATGTAGATGAAAATATAGGTAAGTGTCTGCGATAAAAATTCGGCTACATTTTGTCCTTTCATAATATGACTTTAAATGTGTTCCCGCTACGTTATAGTTAATATAATCTGATTATAGACTAAATGAGTTATTAATCTTTGGCTTCGTGGATTACGCCGATCCTACGCAGATGAGATTGAGATTGCATGGTAACAGCACCGCGACAGAACTACGTTGCAATGTCGTGTCAATGTAAAAAGTCACTAGCTAGTCTAGTGTATGAATAGTCTGACAAGTATACATATCGACTGAGCATTGAATGCCACCCGTGCGTTACAGGTCGTCTTGTTTTTCTAAAGTGTTCCCCATTATCGAGACGTAATGACACTCCTTTTTACAAAGGTCAGACTTTGTTCGCTGCCAACTTGTCTTTTATTCCACTGCTCCATTAGGCTGTGACGCTTATCTCTGAACTTGAGTGGACCTGGTCATAACTGGAAAAAACGCCGTAAATGTTTCCCAGCGCAATTTAGCATATAAATGCACACACTCGGCGTAACCATGGCATCATATTTAATGCCCGGGGTGAAAATGTCTTCACGGTTGCTCAAAAAATCGAGAGACACATGTGCGTTTAATACCCGCTCAATGTAGCTTGGTATTACGGGTAAACGCACATTCAGCTACTCGGTTTTCTTTCACTTAACATTTCTGAACAATTTTTGGTTATCGTATAGCTTTTTTTGTAAACGTGTTCACTGTCCACAAGATGGCCGATGCCCGTTGGTCACTGCCGCCATGACAACGGCAACAATACTTAGTGACACGTAACTGCTTGAGAGGAAATTGACATTGTTTACAATTGAAAAGTAACAGAGTATAACCACTAGGGAAGAATGCGTGTCTTCGTAGTGACAACATACTGCATATGTTGAAAATGAACTACGTAACAAAAAATTAGACATTTTCACATTAAACATGTGACTAATCAGGTCGAGGGTCACAATCATCGTAAACTCGAGGAAATCAAATTTAAAAATTGTATCTTGACATTTAATTCGTCGCTAATACGTTGAGTCAAATTCAACTGCTATTCAGACACAACTAGTTAAAAAGTATTCTAGTTGAATACCTAACACTACTAACTTGGTTGATCGATATCCAGTATAAACAATTAATTACTTTTTAACAATGCGACATTTCGGTCAACTGTCGAAACGTTAAAAATCAAATTAAACTTTAATACTACCATGTATTCCGCATCCCACATCCACAAACACTTAATCAGTTCTACACGGAGTTTATAATTGTTGGGTATTACGTTTCCAAATAGCAGGGCATCGAATGTTACGTTACATCAGAATGAAACTGGCACAAAATGCGACGGGTGGGAATACCAGAATGCTTCACATTTTAGGCATTACGGCGACTGTTGCCCGGACTGTTACACACACGTCTCGATATAGATATCATACATAACGTTCCGGGGATTTAACTGCCTCAAATTTTATCATCATTTATGTCTACCAAACTGCACTCATGATTTAAGTATTTTTTACTAAGGTGCAAATTTGCAATACACTGTTACTATGGAAATATAGACATGGCAACACTCTTGGGTCGATCTATATATCCATTAACTATTTTCACGTATAGGATTTTTATTTAAATATTATTTAAAGCTTTACGTCGAAATTATAGATATCCCACGGTTATTAGTCTGTTTTAGTAACCATGGGAATCTGCCGTTCCCCAGGCTATAACGTCGATACCTACCATCATGTTGACGACCACTGCCGATCCAGTTGACGGTGTTTGTTTGTAAAAAGTTTAATTGAAATTTATCTCAACTATTAATCAGATAATTAAAATATAACAATGGATTTGCTGGAGGTAGTTTGTATATATCGTTTTTAGTTTCGTGATCATGAATATATGGGAATTATTTTTAGAGATGTTTATGTACATATCACGTGCCTTCTATGAGCCGTGTGTGTCTCCCACCTTGCACCACATTGCAAATAAGGATGTATGCTTTGCCGGTATCTTAGATGCATTGTGTGTTTCGTTTTGTTTCAATTCGACGAACATGAGTACAAATTGAGTGGAAATTTATTGTATTTATGTCACGATGTTCGGCCATGTATGATGGTGTAATAGGTACTGGTGTATGACGGGATAGGTCTTGTTTTATGGCTAATTGTTACTCGTAAATTCTATCACAGTCGGCGTTAGTGTGGTTTCAACAATTCACCTTTGTCTTTCTTTGTTTAATATTGCCGGTTTAGACGTGTGACAAACGAAGATCAATTTTGTATCCGTTACACTTTAACCCCCCCCCCAGCATTACCATTGTTTGAACCTGCAAGAACTCGAAACAATACTAGTACATGTTGTTCCCATGGTGATATGCGTAACCTATTTGTATTATAAACTTTTGAGGAAGATTATTTTGCAAAATTTTAAATTTTAAACGGATTTACTAGACACAGTGAAATAGAGACGATATATATTTGTAGAATGTCGATATCGCCGGAGATATATTTGATACTAGTATATAATAATAATAATGGTAAACGCGTCATTTTCATCTGTTACCATGGCAAATATTTTAGCACGTGCCAGATCACATGGTCTTAATAGATCATATGCATCTGCCTTTAAGTGTATCTGAGAAGTCAATTCAAATATTAGAACACATAATGATTTGTTACATTCATCGATACCTAGCTAGGGTCAGAGTTCAATGACAAGTCTACATAAGAATGTAATGTTTTTTTAACAAGAAATTTTTGCATTTTTTTATTTGCGGCCACAGTTATTGTGGTCAGAAATCTGTTTCATTATGTGGATTTCGCGCTGAATGAGATTATTACTATGGCAACTACATGTGGAATGTAAAATGAATGATTGAAAAATGCCGTTTCAATAGACATTTCTACTTCTGATTTTTTTCAGCATTTTTTTTTTGAGAAAATAGCAGAACTAGGCTGAAATAGTCTCTGATCTTGACGTCATGAATGATCGTATACTAGAAGTGCATCATTTGAAATATGACAACGCATAATTATCTACTTATCTACAAACAAACAAACAAACAAACAAACAAACAGATTGTGGCAGCATAGCCTGAACAAATCAACTCAAACAAAATCCAGACGTAGAATTCAATCATAACATTTCTCCTAATCAGTGGTGATGAGAAGTTTGGAACCATTCATGGTGGCGACAATGACTTGCACTCGAGTCGTGAATCATCTTGTCACGTGAACAAAGCGGAACGAACAAAAGATGAAATCGATCAACCAAGTTTGAAAGCAACATTGTGAATTCAAAAATACATTTTCGATTAAAAACTGCGCCGCGTTACAAGCTAAATCGATGTCGGTTGTATACACTCACTCTTTTTCTTCTTGTATCCGTGACTAAGTAACTGAAATTAATATCCACGTTACCATAGCGACTATCACTTCGAGTCCACGAAAATGACACTTAAAAAATGAATGTCAGACACGAAATGTATATAAATGTTATATGGATAAAAATAGCTTTGCTCTCAAACGTTACAGGCCATAGTTTATTTATACTCTTTCGTCATTATGCTTAAAATTACTATCCACAATATCTTCACTGGCATACAATGAACCTTCAGTGGATAGTCGGTTCTCCGATAAACTGATCGAGAAACACCAACAACGTGATTACCGATTCAAAGACGAAACTTAATAAGGTATGTCGCCAGTACCTCATACCCCTGCTAAACAGACAGCCTATAATGTCAAATTATATACGTCATTTACATTATTTTCTGGGATAGACCTATTACTGCCTTTTGAAATTGTGATTTCTAAAGGGGCCGCCAAGGCGGTACACCTGCAAAGTAAGTTATTAAAAATTGAAACTAATAAATGCATACACACACATTAAACAAAATATTGTAGGTGCGATTTACCCCAGCATCATAGGATGGGCGATCTTTATTGGCTGCGACGAGCACGTGGCAACACAGTCTTAGTGACTTTGATTCAAACCCACATTATTTGCAACAATAATTATGATTTACATAATTAATTGTGTACCCGGTATTTAACTAGGCTGCTGGGATTGGCAGGGACTTCGATTCCCAAATGCTTACTACGACCATATATGTAGGCAACAAGACGAACGCGCAGCTAAACCGTTTCAGTGATTTTAACGTAGATTTTGTCAGATTTTACGGCTCCCTGCTGCCCCAACATCTAATGGTGACATTAAAATAGTTTACTTGACTACCTGATTCAACAGGTGGTCTGAGTTACCCCCACGCATTGCAACCTAACTTTTATACCCGCCGGCTGATGCCATACCAAATAGTTCAATGCTTTCATACGGAAACCTGATACCATTGTATTTTCAGTATTTCTTCCTCATCCTTTGACTGTCATATCTTTGTATGCGTACCTGGTCAAACGTTGACACCGTCCTACAATGTGCTCCTACAATGCTATCTTGGCATGATATCGAATGATGTATCTAGTCATGCATCGTGCGCACGCGGCGACGTGTTTATATACGCCGACTGTATTGGCAGAGGTCGTCACCCACATCCTGTTGCCATGGCAATGTAAACAAACAGACCTAAACATCATTAAAATCTCGAGTAATGTACTGAGGTCATTAAGGCAACCCTTGGAAAAGCAGTAAAAACGGCGAATTACAAACAAGGCCTGTCGCGACAGTTTTCTTCAAGGAGAATATGGCACGCATATGTCATTTCAGGCACGGTTACCATAGTAATAATTAAGCATAACTTGTTAGAGTCGGTTGCTGCACCGTACAATTTAAAATAACACGTATCATATTCGAAGTATCGTCATATAGAATTATTTAGTTTACGAGAGAGTTAGAGATCTGCTCACAGGCTGAGGTGTCAGGCAAACTCGGTAGTAATTCATTAAATATAAAAAGACTCGACAGTAATGACTTATTTAGACACGTTTATACCCGAGTGAAATACATTGCTCGCCTCTTTCGTCGTGGTCATGTCTGTCCTGCAAGGCTTATTGATTAATGATGTAACTAAATCTCGGCAAATAATTAGAAAGAAATCTTGAATCTATACTTATCATATAACAACTTTGACGGAAATTAATATAACATTTCAGAACATGTTAGAATTGCTTGTTGTAAAATTGTAGTGGTGGTTGTGGCGCATCGTGCATGGGTACCGTGCGACGTATACGAAGCGTGTAAATAAATTGGAACGCGCGCTGCGCGACGATCGTCGACTTGGTCGGCGAGTGAAGTACATTACGTGTACATCATCATTATACAGACGAATATCAGTCGTCTCAAATAATCTTCCATATTTGATAAGTCTGAAAAGAGATTCCTTGCAGACACAGCTTGGTTTTACATATCACGTGACATACATTCTAATCCTAATGACGGCTTTCACCAAGATTTGCCTGAATACTTCCAATTTCCCGCGAACCATCTATTGGTGGTCACCATGACAACTCACTAGTTATTCATTAGAGTCTCATTTTGCAGGCATTGGAGACAGGAATTGTATACCACGTGACTATACAATAGTAAAACATATCAACTGACAAAAGAAGCTATCCTAACGCATAATAGACGAGCAGAAAAGACGTTTCATGTTTAGCCACACTCGCTCGCGTTTTGGATATAATTTCCAATTCCACCCATCTTGTCTGTCGAAGGGTCTGTTGATGATCAGTCCACCAAGTTCTTTTCAAGTACAAGTTCCACTGGCCAACCTTAAAGTACACACATCCGTCTAATATCTAACGATTTATTCTCCGTTCTTAAAGAATATACTATTACAAACACCCTCAAACCCATTTTATGTGTTTATCACGTGTGTTGAACCAATAACATTATTCCTCGATGGTTTGATGGTAATTATCGTTTTTATTTTTAGTGATTCGTTGTGATGAAAGGTACACCAATCAACAAATGTACCCAACACCTGCTGTGATAAAATAAGCGAATTTTACTCATGAGAATACCCCGCCCCAAATACACATGAATTTTTAGTTCCACACTCCCTTTCTGAGACAGCTAACACGCGGAAGGACACCCCTTTCACAATACTAGAATGTTACGCGCCGTTTCATCCAGATTACAATTGTTAGAACGAAATATGAACGCTCTAAAACTAATCTCTAGCACATTGGACTCTGTTAACCGGTCTCCATGGCGACCACGAATGAGTTCAATACGTCCCTGAACATATCTTAAGGGGAATCTTAGGGAAATATGTACAGTAGATATAAATGTATTTATAAGCGCTCCATAGAAACTGTAACCATAATAGACGTAAACACAGCCCAGAGGAGGTGTCAGACTAGTGATAAACCAAGCCGGTACAACTGTAGAAGCAATAACCTACTGCAAACACATGCGAAATATGAATATGGTGGCAGCTTGTTGCCACGGTGACGAAAACCCTCATTCTGACTCATGCCAATGTCAATCGGAACGAGAGTGAGCGAATGGAGTGTTGTTATGACACACTACGAGAACACAATAGCAGAACAATATGTCTTTGTTGGCAATATTCAACTTTGTATTTGTGTATCACTCATTGTATATGTAATCGCCCCCTGTGGACATTGTTTAATTCACAATGGCACGTCATGCTCGATCGTGATATACTGAGCGAGGAGTTTGGCATAAACAAACCTTTGTCACCATTAAACACTCAAAATGTCAAATTTATTATTCAAATAATGTAAGTGTATTTGGTATGCGTTGAGCAGTAAAGGGTTGGGCCCGAACAATTTAGTAGATTTTTCTTCGCACGCTCGAGTGTTTTTTTTATGTTTGCAGTTGATACACCCCTCTCAGTCCCCGTATTTCTAATGAAACCTTCACCAAACAAAATGACTGTGGGGACGAATTTGGCGATCATTTGAGTTCATGGCATTTAATACGTGGAAAGCGTTCGGAGTTAGTGTTTTCATATAGCAGCGATAATTCCCAATAACGCACTTGCTGTTTTCGAGTAGAGAAATGAGAAATTCTTAGTGATTCTGTCTCTCAAGAAAGAGCCATGACGAGTGACGTGTAGGGGTTATGTATAATGCCTAGGGATAGTATCAATTGTCACATAAATAGATCATGATTTCTTCCATCATGGATGGATACGCCGAGGAATCAGTCCTACTTTTTTACATATTTAAAAAAAACACGAGATATTAAATAAACAAAAAATAAACATTCACCTGTTTTTATCTGTTTAGATTCACCAAAAGATGGCGAAGAAGGTGGTCAAGAAAAACAGGACGCCGAAAAACCAGCAGATGGTAAGGAGTTAAATTACGAGTATTATATATCTCTAACTTTGTGTAGACAACACACATATGCCACGTCCAACCTCAAGAAGCGTTCCAACATGATTGCCACTTTATTAGCGTGACGTGGCGATTGATTTATATTAATGTAGACAGCAGTAGGACCATAAACATTGTTTAATATACTATTCTGAAATGTATTGGGTTGTCTGATTTGACAGCAAACATTGTAAATTGATATGTCTGATAACGGTCGCTCTAATCCTTGGTATCACTAAATTATGCCGCCTGGTGGCGTTCTATCCATACTTGCGTCAATGTTTAAATATATATCAGTAAAATACAACGTGGACGATTCAATTTCATTTACAGGTGACGAGCTTAAGAAAGATGATGAGGGTGCAGAACAAACGACAACAGGTAACAGAGAATGACGAGACATCGTATGGGTTCAACTAGTGGCTTTGCTTCCCCAAATCCTGCTAATAACATCCAAATGCTACAAAATGCTTCACCTTCAACCCTTCACCTTTCACCCCGAAATCCCGACTCCAATCATTAGCTTCATGAAATTTCTTCTATCTCACTGATTGGCTTTATCCTGCTCATAATCCCATGCGATAACTTTGGCTGGTGTCATTATCGTTAACCTCTCATTGCAAGAACGTTTGCCTAATATTTCAACTAATATCATATGATTGAATCATTGAACATTCACTGGTTGAACTCCTGCGATATGAATGTTCAAATAAATTCTTGTAATTGTTTAGTCACGTGACCAATATATTCCTGAACTGCACCCTTGTCTTGGATGGTATACGACTGTAAGTTACCATAGCAACATCTTTCCATGACATCTTGTTCCATTGACATGAGTATAAGTGGAATTAAAAAATAGACTAAATGTATTCAGCTAAGAGAATACAATGAGGTCATGCGAGATCTCAGTTCAATAGCACAACTTTAGGAAATAAAAATCTGTCGATTTTCAAGAGATTTATTTTGTCAATTCAACATTCAACATGATTATGTCGAAAGTATAGCAAAGACCTTCTCCCCATGTATTCTAAATATTCCATCCCTTAAATGTCAGTAGTTTCGGCGGGAATTTTCCGAAAAGTCTTATGACAGATGAAAGTTTGGAGACCGAAGCATACCGAATATTGTCGTGACTACATCAATCTCTGACATCATGACAATGAAATATTATTATGTTAATATTCTACGTTGCTGCTGTTGCTATGTTTACTATCAGTACAGTTGTTTTATAAACAGGTATATGTCAGAAAGTGTTAGCCGTTCCAGTAGAAATAAAGACGCAATTATTTAATTGATTATTTGATTTGTATTATTATTTATAGTATTATTTATCTTATATCTATTTCGCTCGAGCAAAAAAAAAACCAATGGTGTTGAAATAGCTGCATGATATTTTGACGTAAATTGGGACATTTATTTTTCCTGATTGTCATGGTTTATGCACTATAGAACCGACAATTTAATCGAACTTAATGATTACGTGACTAATTTATTTGGATGATTCCATTATTTTGACAGGTGAACAGAACGAAGGCGAAGGTGCAGAGACAGAAGGTAATATAAATACTTGCTTACATCTCAGACAACTAATACATATTACATTAATTGTCTGAGCTTACATCGCCTCCCATTGAATTACGTCACATACACACGAATGTCGAAATTGAATCACACCTCCATATGACGTCGTCAGTTTCCCCCTGGACCATGATAATATCATTTACATAACATAGCATATATTAACTAGCTTAATCAATCGCACATGAAATCAAGCTGGTTGTAAATTGGTTATTTCGCTTAACTTCTAATGCCTGCACATGACACTCAACCAAAATGAACATAGCTGTCACATTAATATGGGTGCCACTAAAAGTTAATTATCACGTGCCCAGTGCATGATACAACTTTGCCTTTCCCGCCCATTCATCTAATATATGTTACATCGCACGTAAAGGTGATGCCGAAACGGAAGAAGCGTCAAAAGAAACAGATGCTGTGCCCCCGGAAATGACGACAGAGGAAACGCCGGCTGCTGAACCAGAAACACATCCCACTGACGACACAGAAGTTGAAACACAAAAGGAAATACACGACACAGCAGACGACATACCAGTAAACGACACAGCTAATACAACAACCGAAGGTGACATGTTACATAGGGATAGTCTAACTCTCATGTTGAAGCACCCCAGGGTCGTGATTTTGTCACGTGACCACATACCATGTGACTGATGGTTTGTCTGCCTGTCTGTCTCTGTATGTAGTGTAGTATTGATAGATAGGTGCTTCAAACATGAGAGTTGCCGGTATGAACTTTCTTGCAGTCCTCTGGTAAAAAATAACTTCCTTAAACACAAAATTCCTGCTTTAATTAACTTCTGCTTGGGTAACTAAATGGTTTGCCTTCAGTTCCTAGCTTCGCTCTGCTAATTGTCATTGCTGATTGTCACACTATGCATCAAGCACCGCTGACCATGCACATAGCTTAAGAACACATCATAGTGAAACCGATGCACATCTAGTGTACAACGACAGGCCATGCTCTTGTTATTAATCATAGCATTGGACTGCAAGAAAGTCTATCATACGTATATGTTTAGTGGATGTCACACGTTGTCATGGTGACAGAGCAATCTTTTGGAATGTCGCTAAAATATTGTTAGTTAGTAACAACTGATAAGATTGCGTCTTTTATTTCGTCACAAATACAACACAACACTTATCACATCATATTACTTTCCACGGACCAATCGTCGTCTCATCACGTGACTGTCTGCATGTACATTTATCCTACGTAGATCGTAACATTGTTTGCACTATTTAGGTTGGGCGATCTATCTGTAATGTAGCGGGGGGGCTACAAATTTGCCAATCATATCCTCTGAACAAATGTTTACCTTCAAAATAACTTTTATTCTTCAATTGTTGTCCTCTTTTAGTGTCGATTCGGTGTCAGTTGTAAATAGGTCATGTTTATAAATTATCCAACAATGCATTGCGTTGATATTGTAGCACGTGACTATAATTAACCAATCAATGCCCGCCAATATTGTGCAACACACACGGAAATTTCGCCGACTTAATCATATATGTTTATCCAATTGCCACTTCAGTGCTCATCAAATCACCACTCTAAAACAAACAACATTTTTTAAAAAGTGTATTTGATTGTTAGGCGACAGTGATTCTTACTACTGCCTGTATAGGCTCGATATAGCGACGTATTCACCAGTCTAGAATGGAAGTTACAATATGATATTTGTTTTTGCCCACAGCCCAAGCAGACGCAGAAGAACCAGCAGCTGAATAAACAACAACATGCTTCAACTTGTAAATCAACATGTAAATAACAAAATATAATTTTTGACTAAAAGAAAACAAAAAAAAACAAATGTATGATGATGTAAATTGCTGATATTACTCATGGTTTAGATGTATTTGTTTATGTGTTTCCATGGTTTCAAGGGAAACACATAAATGAAGCGATGACTGCAAATGAATCGGTGACTACAAACGAGGATATACATTGAATGAATCGGTGACTACAAATAATACATTTTTAATGAATCATTCCTAGATAATAGTTATCCATTGATTTGAAAGAACGAATATATATTTTCAGATTATTATCGAAATTCTTGGGTTTGCATTTTAGTGCAATACATAAAGTTAAAGCGTCACTGTCGTCGCACCGTGTCGCGTTCAGTATGCGTACCACACAACGCGTACGAATGCGTTGTTTATTTACGCGAATCTAGAACGCGCGCTGCGCGACGACTGCTACTCGCTATACATGACTACTTTTTGTTAGTCCTACTACCTTCCCAAATACTGTCAAATAAAAATTGCATTTCGAAATGGTTACTGTTTTAGCTTTGAATTTGAATAGGAATAGAAAAACAGCATAACGCAATCCAGGCAATGAAGTGTAGTCGGCGTTACCGATTTTGAAATGTTTTAAAACACTACATTGTTTTCTCACTCCGTCCATAATCTTTAAGATGTACATTTTTTGAGAAATCAATGGTTAATGGTTAAATGTCAAAAGTACACAATTTTGTTCATGTTGAGGTGCACGGCGTCATTCGATAAGTCAATAAACATGAAACACGGACTATTATATCCAGACAACTTTTCGTTTTCTCTACTAATCGGTGAATGATTCAGTATTAATCCATTTTTGAAAGTAAATATTTTAGCAACTTATATTTTCATACTCTTAATTAATGTACTTGTTTCCTTTTGTCTTAATTGATATTCTGCCCCATTGTATGCAATATACACTTGTTTTGTAAATACCAACACCTTTAGATTTGTTTTCCGTTGTGGTATGGAATAACATATCAAGATGGTGGCCTTGCACTTTAACATTTTATATGGGATTTCATAGAGGATAAAAAGATAATGTTGAACGAATTCAAGATTATTTTTTACAATTTTCTGATATTAGTGTATATTTTATATTAAATCAATACCGTCTTATATTACTAACTCAAAATAAAAGAACCCTATAAATTGTTGAATTATTTATTAGTTCTAGGTGAAAGGTCATGAGACCTCATACTATGGTGCCATTTTCATGATGATTTTGTTTGAGTCAGTTATATTTTAGAAATCTGTATTTATTTATTTGATGTAGATCTGTTAGAAGCACATTTGTTTGATATCACAATAAAACCGTAATAAAATAATACTATATACTCATGTGTTGTTGAGACTTTCACAATGTCCCAAAATGCTTTGCGAAGAGAAGTATCATTCTATGGAAAACTCGAAAATAATTTATGACAGATTTCTTCACGTTCGAAATTACATTTTGCTTCAAACATTAATTTGGATTTTTTTTTACAAACTTTGACTTATTTTTTGAAATTTATATTGTGGGTCTATTTTGGCGGCAAATCACCGTATGTAAATCCATTCATGCATGATAAACCTATGCCAACATTGTCTAGGGGCGCTGTTTAACATTCAACCCACAGTCAATATTTTAGCGATGACGATGATCTGTCCACTTGGAAATGCTCAAATAATCTAATTCGAGGTTGCAGTGGCATAGTATATAATTGACATCATCACGTTGTTTGGCACATTGACGTCATCATGATATGTGATTCACTGACGTCATCACCTTATATGAGATATGATTTATATTATACATGTACATCAATTGCGACTGAGATGGTCAACTGTACAAAGTATGATACTAGTACTAGTATTTTGGAATCTTATCATGGCGAGAATCACAGTGACTACGTCTCCAACTACATTAAGGAGACTATGGCTTATCCATCACTAAGAGTAGCATATCGCATCCCCTTTTGCATGTTCCGTAAGTAAAACCTCGTTGCCTAGATATTCAATGATGAAGCGCTTCTGCGACGTTTGGGCGATGTACACATAAACTGACGTCACAAAAGCGCTCTGTCACTGGAGAGCGCGACATATAGAATGAAGGTATATTATTTTTGAGTCAACACCCTCCCCCCCCCCTTCTTCCAGAACCGTTCATTGTTAGCGCACAAAGCACCATGGAACAAAGGACGATAGAATGGCTGAACTCCAACATCCCATAATATCGTTGGTGTTATCAATCAACTTGTGTATCATGTATCATGGCAACAGTTACATCACAAGTGTACCCGCTTGCAGGTGTTACTTTGATTTCCAGGAAATTAACTGAGATAGATTAGGGACCAGTGCCGGAAGTTGGTTGAGTAATGAGTCGTTTTGACCAAAGATTGTGCTTTCAACTTCCGGAAATTCCGTTGCTAAGCTGAAAATAATATTGCTCATAATGCATTATTCATTAATTGGATTGAAAGACTGTACAATCCACCAGTGGGTCCTGGAGAAGGATGCTTCTAGACATATAGCATCTACCACAACACGTTAACAAGTACCCTGTAGAATGTGGTGTGGGTAATATTTTTATATTGATTTTTGTTGCATTTGCAGCAAATAGTTACCAAACAATGAGAAATCTATGGGATTGAATATACATCTCAGCTGGCTTCAACATGCATAGTTCAAGCCTGCCTAACCGGTGCTTATACCAGTATGTAGTTAAAACACCTAGACGGTCTGTGGTTACAGCTTCATGTTCCGAGTAATCGCAAGAAATTGACATGACAACAGAAATTCACTGGCACTCCCATGCAATTAACAGCGAGTGAAATTCCTGGGATTGAAACATATATTTTGAAGTCACTGATGTAGGCAATGAATAAATTCAAGTTGACATAAAGACGAGGTAGTTTATTTAATCAGTGCTCAACTGGAATTTATTTCAGGGGAAAAATGTTTTCAGTGATAATGAAGTATTATGACAGAACCCCATACCCTTTCCGTGGCTTTCATTGCGTATGGAAGTTATTTTCACGAGTGATGCGGCGTATCCTGCTGCCATACTTTCACGAGCGAAGCCACGGGGAGGGTGTGGGGTTCTGTTATTATTACATATGTCCCATATTTGATTATCATTATCAGACATTAAGATGCGCATACGATAACGGAACGAGAACGGATACGTCACTGCTTTGTGCATGACCTCCGCGCGAACCAATGACGTCCGCGGTTGCCCGGTCGTTCGGCAGTCGTTTTGAACGTGGTCAAGGTGACTGACTCGTAGTTGATTTCCGAGAGCTTTTCTCGCTGTCAATTTTGAACAATTTTCATTGACATTGATAAAATGTTTTATATTAGAGTGTTTTTGTATATTTATGATGAAATAAGAAATATTGGATGTATTTTAGCTGATATTTATACCCACTGAAAACGCATGATATTGATCTGCTGAAAGAGGATTGGGCAAACAGGCCTGGGACCTCAGCAGAGTGGATGGAAATAGTGAGAGCTCTGTCAAATATCTGTGAACTAACTACTAATTCAGATTCCGGACGTAAAATGACATAACAAATTTTATTAGGTAGTTATTGTTGCCCAATGAGAGACGGATTGACATGATTCTGGTTTCAGTTACGTTCCCGTTGTGGGCTGTTGTACTTAATCGTTTTCTGACACCAGAGAACGTAACGCAAACGAAATTAGAACATCACGTTACGTTCTCGTTACGTACGCAAATCTTAAACTCTCTAATAATTATTATTTTTTATGTTTGGCACAAGAACCATTCTCTATAGTTGTTAGTAAATATAAATAGTCCCATTTATAGTCTGCACTTTCCTTATTCAATAATTTATTAAAATACATAAGTTTGTCCAACTCCCTGTGATACAACACCTCAGACATAGCTCAATGTACTCGGCTTGAGTGTGGGCACAAAGTTA